TGCAATAAGCAAGGACACGTTTCCAAGAGGACAGAGCTGTCATTAATGGGATTAGAAAACCTGGTCGGGGGCACTTTTCTCCCAAACTCGGTCCCCTCATTAGTAAAACGAGGCGGGGTCTGGCAGGGGGCTGGGCACTGCCGGTGCAAGGAGTGCAGAGGGGACATCCAGGAGGCCACTAGCACCAGGGGCAGCCACTGGAGTGGGGCCCTCAGTGCTTCTGCACACACAGGGACCCAGCTGCACCAGGCACAGCTCCCGAGCTGCTCTCTGGGGGGAGCCAACAAACCCTGACACGGCAAACAGCAGGTGATTGATCTTAATTTTGTGCTAAGTCAACAGCTATTTTATTCCAGATTCTTATATACACAGGCAAAAAGTGAAAGTTTAAGGTTTTTGGAAGAAAAGGTTATCTTTTTCTTTCTGAGAAAGTCTTCATTTTATCCTCCATGAATTGGATGGGACTGCCACCACGTGACCTGAGTGGAAGGACATGCTGGCATAACTCACGGGACCCCACTGTTCCACAGTCATAAAGTCTAAGGTGCAAGTTTGGAGTTCTGAACTCTAAACTCTAAGACTATACTTAGATGCCTGACATCGACAAGGGTGACATCACTTGACCTTTGTGACGCCCCTCCAGCATCTCCTCCCCCAGAGCATGCAGTGGTGCCTTTGTTTCAGGAATGGCTGAGCTGTTGAACAGGGAGCAGAATAAAACCGTGCCCAGATGCAGACGGCAGCTCGCACCAGCTCACTGACCTGCCCCCGGCGGCCCACGGCCTGGGACTCAAGGCCTCTCCATGTCAGTCAAATGACACATCAGGAAGGTGCAGAGAACTGGACAAACAGAACAGGGACCATCACATCCTGAAGAGGGTATCGCACCCTCCCGACAAGCGGCAGAAGAGAAAACAAGCTGATGAACATTTCAATATCCACAGCACGCATATTCAGCTTTCACTTTACTTTAGTTACAAAACAAATGCCCGAACACAAGTTCAGAAAAAGCACACCAGCACAGTAAGTTTTTATTCCTTCTTCTGTTACAGAAAATAAATAATGGTCACGTACTCCACATGCTCGTCTAGAAAAGCTTTTCTAAACGTCCCTGACTGGATCCCCCGGGAGACTCTCGCTGTTCCACGGCAGCTTTCATATAGACTGTTGGACTCTATTAATTTTTTAAGCACTTGGGCTCCAGCAACTTTGGAAAAAGGCTGTTTGTGAGCTTAAAAATCTTATTCTAAGTTACATTTTAAATAGTTAAACTAAAAACAACCAGGTCTTAACTTATTTTAAGAGGAGAATATAATTTTTCTTTTATAAAAATTGCCCAAAAAACTCATAAACACCCAAACCGACAGAAAAAGTTGGTCTATCTCCATAGGAATTAACAAGAAAAAAGGAACAGAACACACGCAGCCCCTGTAAACAGACCTGCTCAGGCAGGACCCCGCCCCGCACTCATTCCTCATTCTTCCGTTTCCAGTTTGGCCCTCGGGAGTTTTCCGAAAGGGCAGCTGCTCAGTCGTCTAGGCCGATGTTCCTGAAGAGGTAGGACATGGACTCCCCGTTGTGAATCCGACGGATGGCTTCCGAGAGGATCATGCTGATATCCACGGTTTTAATTTTGGGGCACTGCAGCTTCTGGATTTCATGTGGAATTGTATTGGTAACCACCACCTGCAAACCAAGAGAAAAAAACCAAAAGCATCATAAAACCACGGAGCTTCCTGGCTTGATTTGAAAATCTGATATACTCTCAAATCTCTGAGGGCAGGGGTGTACCGCACGTGCAACAATGTTCTCAGTCAACATGAACGCTTGCCGTGTTTCTCAGGTTAAAACTGGATAACCCTACACCCATTAGCACAGCTACAGGCAAAAAGACAGGGAACAGTAAGTGTTGGCAAGGATGAGGAGAAAGCGGGCCCTCGTACACTGCAGGTGGGGATGTAAAATGGTTCGCCTGCTTTGCAAAACAGTCTGGAGGTTTCTCAAAAGTTTAAACATAGAGTTACCATAAGACCCAGTAATTCTACTCCTAGGATCACACCCCAGAGAACTGAACACATATGTCCAGACCAAAGCTGATGCACGAATGTTCATAACAGCACCATCACAACAGTCACAACGCAGAACAATCCAGACCTCCATCAACTTAGGAATAGAGAGACGAAACGCGCCATATCCATACAATGACACATTCAGAATAAAAGGAATGAAGTGGGCCCGCCCCATGGCTGAGTGGTCAAGTTGGCGCCCTGCACTTTGGTGGCCCAGGGTTTCACTGGTTCGGATCCTGGGCACGGACACGGCACCACTCATCAAGCCATGCTGAGGCAGCGTGCCACATGCCACAACTAGAAGGACGCACAAATAAAAATGTGCAGCTATGTACTGGGGGCTTTGGGGAGAAGGAAAAAAAAGAAGATTGGTAACAGATGTTAGCTCAGGTGCCAATCTTTAAAAAAGAAAAGGAGTGAAGTACTGAGACGTGCCATAAGATGGAGGAACACTGAAAACCTTATGCTAAGTGAAAGAGGCCAGACCTGAAAGACCGCTGCTGTCTGATCCCACTGACGTGAGATGCCCAGATTGGGTAAATCTGCAGAGACAGAGGCGGATGGTGGGGCTGGGGGCTGCGTGGATTGAGAGGGAACAGGCATGACTGCTAAGGGGCATGAGGTTTTTTTTGGGGTGATGAAAATGCAATAAGAGTGATTGTGGTAATGGCTGCACAGCTCTGTGAATATACTAGAAACCACTGAACTATGTATTTTAAATGGGTGAATTGTATAGTATGTGAATTATATCTCAACAAAGCTGTTACTTTAAAAAGTTATTTGATAAAAATTAAAAAAGGAGAAGCACTTTTCAACAGTTACAAATGGGAAAAAATAAAAATTCTCAGCCTTCTTAAAAAAACGAGGAATGGGAGTAATTTTTTATTCTTATTTATAATATATACCCCCTATTTCCAAAATAAGCCTCAAGACAGCTGATAATAAAGAGGCACACACAATGAGATGCTGAGAGAGACGATGAGGAATCATCAGAACCAGCACCAGGGATGCGAACACCCAGCCTCAGGTGATTACTGGGACTCCCCGTCCGTATTCGATCTTCCTGGTAACACTACAGCAAATGGAGACATGAAGGGCACACAGGTCTCATGACCCGCAGAGGACAGTTCCCAGAGGAAGAGCACCTTCCCGCTGGCATCACACAGGCTTTCCGCGTCAGCGCAGTCAGTGCGAGGGCCGACAGGCAGGCCGCAGCGCTCCGTGCACAGCGCCCCCTGGGGGCATCACTGGGGGCGTCACTGCGGCCCTCCGGGTCAGTTTTCCTCACTAAAAAACCGCTCTCACTGAGGAATGACTTTTCGGAATTTATTCTAACCACTTTTTAAAAATAACAGCTTTACTGACATACAATTCACATACTACATAACTCTCCTCAAGTGTACAATTCGGTGGTTTTTACAACATCAGAGTTGTGTCCAATATCTTCCCGAAAAGAAACCCCACACCCACCAGCTGTGGCTCCTTATGCCTCATGCCCCAAAGCCCCAAAGCCCCGGGGACCAAGAATTCTTGTCTCTATGGCGCCTGTTCCGGACATTTCACTCTACTAGCTTTAGCTTCAAAAGGAACCAAGGAAAACACTCCAACCCTGGATTTCCCAACCCCAAGCGCTCTGGACTGGCCCCTGCTCTGACGGGGAACCGGCCTCTCCACTTCTCCCCCGCCAGCTCCTCACACGTGGACTCTGCCAGGACTCGTGCATCGATCGTACCTTTATCATCTGTTGGGCGACCACACTTGCCTGTAAGTTCCTAGGGAAATCCTTAGCTTCCTAACCAGAGTGAACACAGGACCCCTGTTTAGATCTTAGTTACTGACCCGGCTCCCCACGAAGAGTATCAGTGACAGGGCTCCCAGGGGCGCAAAGCACCGATGCGGCAGCCTCCCCAGGGAAGAGCTCTGCTGCCAGACCGCGCAGGCCCTGCTGGTTCCGCGCCCCCCGTCCGAACCCACTCTGCTCTCGGGGGCCTGGCTCCAGCAGCGCCGTCCACCTTCCTCTGGTTTGTTCATGCTGATCCACCCACACAGCACCCGTAAGAAGCCCGCCTAGTGCCACATGGCCAGACCCGAGAGCCGCGCTGGGCCTGAAGTCTTCTGGCTTTACTTAGTATATGTGTTCTGTATGGCTGATTTCGCCTCCTTGAACGCTTTTAACATCATTCCTGCTTCTCAGTACGTTTTGACCAACTCAGCGAGGAGGCTGCGCTGACGTGAGCATGCAGGTCCAGCCTTCCGTCTGCGCTAAGGCATCTGGAACCCATCAAAGCTGATAAACACAGGGCCCGGCTTAGGGATGTCTACCATTGAAAAGTAAAAACCCAGGACTTGCAGAAGTAAAAGGAGTTGGACTAATTCAAGATTCAATACCCAGGAATATGCAGAGGACAGCACTTCTGTTTTTTAAGAGATAATAAAAATGTGATTTATACAGTCAAACCTCCCAGCTGAGCTCCGGAGTGTGGGGCTGGAAAAGCACGGTGAGTAACGCTGGACAGCCTCGCTCAGCCGCACCTTAGGAAACTGCCCTGTTTACCTTCCTCTGCCAGTTTCATTCCAGGGGCGTCTGTACCAGGGAGAAGGCTGGGCTTTGGCGTCAAGCAAACTAAGGTCTGAACCCAAACACTGAGCCCAGGAGCTGTCTGATCTTAAGAAGTCACTCAACTTTCCTGATGCCCGATCTCTCATCTCTCTAGAAGGAGCGCTGACGCGGACCCCGTGGGCTGTGATGGAGCACTGGGCAGTGCCGGCGTAGACAGTGTGCTCCGTTTATCAGAGTTACTAAAGCTACTATTACCAGGGGCTTATAGAGACAGAGGCTTATAGTGAATGAAACACAAACATAACCCATGTTTGCAAACCATTGTTCAGTGCAAAATAGCTCATCCTTCTACCTATCCTTTGCAACTGCAGATGAGGCGGTGCCCGAGTGGCAGAGCGGCGGCCCGCACTGGGCCTGGCTCCGGTACCTCGTCTATGGCAGATTCTTCGATCAGTCGGGGAGCATCTGAAGACAACAAGCCATGAGTCGCCATCACGAAGATCTTATATGCACCTCTTTCCTTCAGGGTCTCTGCCGCAGCCAGAAAGCTGTCAACATCATCGATAATGTCATCCTGTCAAATTACAGATGGAGCAAAAGGTACATGAACACCTTCACAAAGGTGGGTTTAAATGACTAGGAAAAAGAAAGGGTCGGACTAATTCTACTATGACAAATTTGCTGTTCCATTTTAATGTGTCCAGACAGCTGGTCACACGGGCTCGTCACTGTGCTCCCTCTGCATTCCCTCCAGGCCTCTCACAGGGAGCTCCTCCTGCACGGCACTGCCTTCCACAGCTGTCTCTCCACCCCAGGGCTCCCTGGGGTCTGCGTCTACTTAGCCCTGCTGTCCAGAACCGTGCCCCACCGTGCAGGCGCTCCACAGAGGCTCGCCAAATGCTTTCTTCTAATTCGCAGTAAAACTGGTGGAAGATGCTTTTGATTCTGGGTGGTTCTTTCCTCTTTTCTTGCTACTTTTCCTTATTTTCCAAATTTTCTCTACTGGACATATGGGAAATATGCTTTTTACATACATATTCATAACGGGAAAACAGTAACATTATTTTTAACAAAATACCCAGTCCAATGGTTTCTAATCTATGGACACAGATTCCCAGTGTGAGATAAAACAAAAATACATATGTTGGTCTCTGCCCCCCGCTCCTGGCACCAAGCTCCTAACCCTTGTAAATTCCTAAGTGATAAGAGCACCAGGAACATCTTTTGTTCTAACGAGGCGACTCTGGGGCGACTCCTGGATGGCTCCTGCATGGGGGTGGTCCCCAGAAAGACCAAGCCATGATGAGCTGAGAACTGTCAGCCCCCACCCCTTCTCCAGAGAGGGGAGAGCGCTGGAAATGCAGTTAATGGTCGACCGTGCCCGTGTGAGGAAGCCTCCAGAAACCCCAATAGTAGGGGGTTTGGAGAGCTTCCAGGTGGGCGAACACAGCCACACCGGGAGGGTGGCGCACTCCAGCTCCATGGGGACAGAAGCTCCTGCGCTCGGGACCCTCCCAGACCTCCTCCTGTGTGTCTCTTCACCTGCCTGTTCCTCTGTGTCCTTTATAGGAAACTGGTAATAGTAAGTAAAGGGTCTCCCTGAGTTCTGTGAGCCGCTCTAGCAAACTGATGGAGCCCGTGGAGGGGGTCAGAGAACCCCTGACTTGTATCCAAATTGTACAGAAGCTGTGGGGACCTGGGGACCTGCTACTTGCAATTGGCACCTGAAGTGGGGGTGGTCTTGTGGGACTGAGCCCGTAACCTGTGGGGTATGACGCTCTCTCCAGGTAGAGTGTCAGAATTGGCTTAAATTGTAGGACACCAGCTGGTGTCACAGAGAATTGCTTGGTGTGCCAGCTTCCCCCCACATCTGGTGTCAGAAGTAAGGTGTTCTAAGTGAGCAGTAAGGGAGACACACAGGAGGTGGGAAACTGAGTCCTTCCTACCACACCCAGCCCACTAAGGTCATTTTAAGCCCATGAGGGCATCGAGCATTGTCTAGAGTTAAATACATATTCATGTATTTATTTTATAAACATATATGACTCTTTTCAAATGGATACTGACGTTACTATAATCAAAGAAAAACATATACATGTTACTTTAAAAGTGCTAGTGGTAAAATGGTACGGCCACTCTGAAAAACAGTTTGACAGGTTCTTACAAAACTAAACTTGCAATTACCATGCAATCCAACAAATGCACTTTTGGTTATTTATCCCAGAAAAATCAAAACTCTGTTCACACAAAAACCCATACAGAAATGGGCATATAGCAATTTTATTTCTAATAGCAGAAAACTGGGAACACCCAGATGTCCTTCACCAGATGAGAGGTCAAACAAAACCGCGGCGCCTGAGCACATGGAGCGGTGTCCACAATAAACGGGGAGGCGGAGGCCACAGCGCAAGCCAGAGGGCTCTCCAGGGAACTGCGCTAAGTGGAAAGCCAGTCTCAAAGGTCACATACTATACTTTCCATTTGCATGACTTTCTTGAAATAACGATGACAGAGACGGGACAGATTGGTGATTGCCACAGTGAGGGACTGGGCGGTGTGGCTACAAAGGGGCAGCGAGGGAGCTTCCTGGTGATGCACTAGTTCTGCATCTTGACTGCAGTGGTGGCGACACAAAGCCACACATGAGAAAGACTGCACACACCCACACACACCCGTCACACTGCTGCTGTTTGAAGCAGCTCGTGGATCGTAGTGACGTGAAATTCCGGATTGCGTAACTGCACTACAGTCAAGCAGGGAGGAAGGAAGGTAAAGAGCACACAAGACCTCCTCATACTTTTTAATTTCTTTTGGCTATTTCCTACAAATCTATAATCACTTCAAAATAAAAAGTTTTTTCTTTAAATGCAGATGCAGTAGAAAGGGAATAAAGTGCTACCTAGCATCTTGTCACTACAGAACTTGCTAATTAAGGAACAAATTAATGGACAGCTATTACCCTGTAGGGTGGCATCAGAAATTTTCCAACTCAAAAAAGGTGCAAGCAAAATTACAAGCACTGGGGAGAACGTGGGGCTCCCACCACGGAGGCTAGAAAACCAGTGCAGCTGCTGTGGGAACAATTTGGCGCCACCTAGTAAAGCTGAAAATAGGCATACCTTCAGACCCACAACTCCACTCCCAGGCACCTAGAAAGTCTTGCATGGATGTACCAGAAAACAGGTGCAAGAATGTTCCAAGCAGTATTATTTGGAAATGAAAAAACTCTGTATGATCAATGCCTGGAGAACAGATATATATAAGCTGTGTAATAGTTAAACATGGAACATCATACAGCAGTGAAAAAGAACAACGCACAACTGCACGTTACTACACAGAGAAACCTGAAAACAGGGTTGAACACAAAGTCACAAAGTACACAAAGACTTCATTACATAAACATCAAAAACATGTAAAACAAACAATACAGTGTTTAGGGACACACTCACTCACAGCAGACTGTGAAGACGAGCAAGGGCATGAAGGATGACGTTCAGGCTAGCGACAACCTCTGAGGGGAAGAGGAGAGAGACCAGGGAGACGCCCAGAGGCAGCTTCAAGGGGACTTGACAATGTTCTGTTTCCAAGTTGAGTAGTGAGTACCCACATGTTCACTTTACTCTTCTGTAAACTAGCCAGGTACTAAATGTACTCCTGTGCAGTGGTTTTGTGAAGTGTGAGAGGATGTGTGTTTTAAACAATTACGATCAACTTTCAAAGTATCCTACTTTGATCACAAAACAAGTTCCCATGTTATGACAAACAGTTACACAATATTTAGTTAACTGAGTAGTTAGCAATTTGTTAAACTAACGATGACAATTTGCAATTTTTGGACCAAAGTAAAGATTTAGCACAAGGCACCAACTTAAATGAGACTTACCTGGCCATACCACTATCCCCACGTAATTAACAAATAAGTCAACAGAATAACATGGTAAATACAGCTGATAATAATAAAAGAGATCTACATACCACAATGATGGCGATCCTTCCTCCCACATCGCCAACAACCGTGATTGGGGGCTTTTCTTTAGGAATCAGCACTGGTCGAATAAAACACACACACACACAAGTTTCTATATTAAAAAGTAAACCAAAGCCATTAAAAAGCTAACCTCTCATGGGGCCAGCCCGGTGGCACAGTGGTTACATTTGCACACTCTTCTTTGACAGCCCAGGGTTCGCAGGTTCAGGTCCCTACACACCGCTCATCAAGCCATGCTCAAGCCATGCTATGGAGGTGACCCACATACCAAATAGAGGATGAGTGGCACAGATGTTAGCTCAGGGACAATCTTCATCACCAAAAAAAAAAAAAGTTAACATCTCATGATAAAAAGACTCAAGAAACCAGGAAGAGAAGGGAACTTCCTCAACCTAATAAAGGGTAACTAGGAAAAACCCACAGCTAACATCATACTTAACAAAAGACTGAAAACTTTCCCTAAGATCAGGAAGCAGACAAGGATGCTCGCTTTCACCACTGCTATTCAGTATTGTACTGGATGTGCTAGCCAGGACAAGTAGGCCCAAAAAAGAAAGAAAACACATCCAGAATGGATAGGAATAAGTAAAACTATCTCTATTAGCAAATGACATGATCCTACATATGGAAAATACTAAAGAATCCACACAGAAACTACTAAAGTTAACGTACAAATTCACCAAAGCTACAAGATCAACACACGAAAATCAGCTGTGCTTCTACACATCAGTAATGAACAATCTGAAGAAGAAATTAAGAAAACAACTCCATTTATGAAAGCATCAAAATGAATAAAATACCTAGGAATAAATTTAACGCAGAAGGTGAAAGACTTGTACACCAAAAACTACAACACTGCTAAAAGAAACTAAAGAAAACATAAATAAACGGAAAGACATCCCATGTTCATGGACTGGAAGACTTCTACCCAAAGGGATCTCCAGATTCAATGCAATCTCCACCAGAATCCCAACTGCTTTTTTTGCAGAAATGAACTGATCCTAAAATTCATATGGAAATACAAGGGAGCCCAAATAGCCAAAACAACCTTGAAAGAGAAGAAAGTTGGAAAGGCTCACATTTCCCTATTTCTAAACTTATCACAAAGCTACACTAATCAAAACAGTGTGGGATTGGCATAAAGACAGAGATACAGATCACTGGATTAGAACTGAGATTCCAGAAATAAACCCAAACATTTATGGTCAATTGATTTTTTCCCTTAGCTTTATTGAGATATAACTGACATATAACATTGTGTAAGTCTCAGATGTACAATGTGATGACTTGATACACGTATATACTGCAAAATGATTACCACAGTAAGATGAGGTGGAACACCCATCACCTCACATGACTACAGTTTTCTTGTGTGGCGAGAACATTTAAGATCTACTCTCTTAGCAACTCTCCAGTACGTAATACAGCGCTGTTAATTACAGTCACCGTGCTGTGCATTAGATCCCCAAGGTCACTCTTCCTCTAACTCAAAGTTCATCCCTTTGACCAACATCTCCCCATTTCTCCACCTCCCTGGCCCCTGGCAACCACCATTCTACTCTCTGTTTCTATGAGTTTGGCTTTTTCTTTTTTTTTAAGATTCTACATGTAAGTGAGATCATAAGTGCTTGTCTTTCTCTGACTTATCTCACTTAGCATAATGCCCTCAAGGTCCATCCATGTTGTCATAAAAGGCAGGATTTCCTTCTTTTTTATAGCTGAATAACATTCCATTGTATATGTGTATAAAATTGTTTTGTTTTATACATTTTCTTTATTTACTCTTCCATCGATGGACACTTATAATTGATTTTTTACAAGAATGAGCAGATTATTCCATTAAAGTCTTTTTAACAAATCGTGCTGGGAAAACTGATATCCATAGGCAAAAGAATGAAGTCAGACTCCTACCTCAAACCATATACAAAAATTAACTCAAAATTAACCA